CTTTCTGCTGTCCTAATTAAGAGTGCTAGAATCAAGTGTAAAGAAACTAGAAAGAACTGATGGGCTGTTTACATGGAGGGAGAAACATCCTAGAAGGCGGTTCATCCCAGCGTCATGTGTTTTCTGTATTCAGTCTACATGCAGAAGGATGCAGAAGGTTGTACTTAACAATAGCGCTAGGATCTTCCTGGGGGGTACTGTAGGGTCTTTGCGCCGTTTTGGTCTGAAAACGGGTAAAGACTTTGCTCATTTTGGTGTGGAATCGGGTATGGTTTATGAAGGAGATACGGTTGCGTATCAATGTGATCGTCGTTTCAATTCCAACTGAATAAGAAAGAAAGTGTAAAATGCGAATTCGAAATGGATTTTAAGAAAGACTGACGACATAATTTTTGTTTTCTGGTAAACATGTAATGTTGTGTTTTGTTACCACCTCCAGATCTGAAAATGGGCATGAATTTTTGAGGTCTGAAAACAGGTGTGGAAAACGACATTTTTTGGTCTGAGATATGGTCAGGATTTGGAGAACCGGGCGGCACGCCCCCACCGAGAATTCCCAGGAGTACCCCCCCACCACGAGCCCTTACTTGTTAAGCCACCCTTTCTTTATCATGAACTCAAAGGGGGTGTAAAAGAACCCTCAGCACTATTTTTATGTCTGGATACAGGTTTGTAAATTTCTTGACCTTTTCAAAGAATTCAAGACACTGTACAAACCATGTAATTAGTTTCTTTTAAGTAAATGTAAAGGCAGTCACCTGTGCTTGCTCAAACAATGCTCTTGTGCTTCGTTTTAATTTATCCTCCAGAGCTGACTGCAATGAGGCTCTCACAGCTAGTTCGTCATTTATACTGCTGTTTGTTGATGCTGTGTCTGATGTTGTCACCAGGTTACTGCGAGTAACAGGTGCAGGATAGCTTGGTGGATAAGAGGATTGTGGGCTGGTAGCTGCTGGATAGTTAGGTTGAGTCACTGGATATGGAGGATTAGAAGCTCCACCCTGTTGGGGGTAGGCTGGGTAAGGAGGTCTGCCTCCTGAGGACCCTCCAAGACTAGTACCTGTTGGAATTGAGACATAAGAGCTAGTCAAACTCAAAATAACTCGAACCAAAAAGAGAAACTGCCCACCTACTCCTCCCCTAAGCCAACATTTTGCCTCAAGTGAGAAGTAAATGATAATGTTGACTTAGGGGATGGGTAGGTGGGCAGTTTCCCAGAAACTTAACTTGATCCCAACATAAAAACACAAACAAACAAACAAAAAACAACAAAGAAAAGCATCACAAAAGTTCTGAAATTAAAAAATGTGCTGTAAGTGACTATAGGTTTCTTTCGATAAATACCCCAAAACCTGGTGGCTAACAGTACATGTACTTCTTGGAATTGGCCACCACTTTGAAATAATTATTTCAGAGCCAAGTGGCTTGTTGAAAGAAAAGTTAATTTCATACACTTCGCCTGCTTATAAGCTTATGTTCGGAGTCCCCACACAGCACACGAGCAGTCAAGGGACACCACTATTTATCACTTTAACCAGTAAAACACATTACTCTATAAAGGGAATCTTTGTTTACATTTTGTGCTTCATTAGCATATTCTTTTCATTCTCTGGTCAACTCTCTGAATATCGAAAGAGTATAACAATTTCAGTTATCTGTGAAAGTTTGAGTCCAATATACCAAATAGTTTAGAAATTATCTTTGAAAAACTCGAAACTTTACAAAGAATGTATGGGCTCATAAACATTTGCCGACCAGCAATTTTGCAGTTTTCGATGGCTGTTATTTCCTTTGTATTGCCTGCAAAGAGCTGAAAATTGCACAAATCCCTCATATTAATCAATTCTTTCAACTTTTGAATTCAATTTGTGCATATGGTGATGCAATGACAATGACGTCAGCAAAGATTTGCCTATTCTCAGGGGCACCCAATGTCAATTTTCGGAAAATATCTGTTCGGAAGACGATTTGAGATCTAGAATTTTTGGAACATATTTTGTTGTAAAATTTCTTGCTTGCCCCCCTCTCCTAGGATTTTTCAAACATCTAAAAAATGGTATAATTGCCCATTTTAACGGATTTTTACCCTAAAAAGGTCACCTAGAATTTTCAGGAGCCTTTTTGTGGCTGAAATTTTTGAAAAGGTAAGTTTTGATCCCTATAATTTTCAGATCACTAAACTTTCAGCTAGGAAATCCGAACAGATGAAAAATTTTTAGGGGAAAAAAATATGCCTATATCTACTGTTAAAATACTAAAATACGTTTAACAACGCTATGTTTAAGTGGTTTTGAACTATATTCTCGCTGGGTGCCCCTGTATTCTTCCTTGATTTCATGGAAGTCCTCTCTACCATCAGCCACCAGCTCATTTTTGGCCACCAAAATACCATCTATGCCCCCCAAAATCCAACCCTTCATTCACATCGTAGGAGGTAGAAACAAGCAAAGCACGTGATTACCAGGTTATGAAGAAGAATGACATGGGTTTTACCACATGACTGCTAATGACTGCTACAGCAACCACAAAAAGACCTGACCCTGGTCCCCCTTGAAGGTCTGGCCAAAGTGAAGCTGAGGTGAAGCTGTGACAGTGCTAGCAAGCACACAGCGGATTTCAAATTGCTCAAGAAAACAATAGAAGTATGAAGAAGACGGATCAAAATAGCTGATTATGAGCTTTAACTCCCCGTCGCCTCTCCGGTTGGATAAAATAAATACTGTTAAGTAAATACCTCTGTGCTTACATGAGGAGCACCATATATGCTATGACTATTGGTGGAATCTGTGCGATTTATCTGATGTGAAATTGTTGTATTGTTACAACATACCTGCCATAGGCATTGGCATGGGCATCCTACCGGGTCCCCCCACAGGGTAGGGGGTTGATGCTGCTGGATTTGGGGGATAACTTCCATACTGATGAGGGTATCCCCCTGTGGGAGGACGGTAAGGAGCAGGTGGCTGCTGAGGCTGTGCAGCTTTGGAGTAAACAGGTGGATGCTCAGCGAACACACAGCAAAGGATCTGAAGCAGTGCTGCAAGATCAGATTTAGGCTGCAAAAGAAGATCACAATCTACCCTTATCCTTTGTTGTCAACAACTGACATTAACCCATTTGCTCCCAGGAATTTGGCCGAAAAATGTGTTTGATTTTCAAGTCTTTGTCTGGCTATAAGGAGCTAAAACTTACTGCAAAGCCGTTTACAGGTCATATGCTTTGCAGTCTTCTGATCCAGATCCAAAATATAAGCTTGTAATGTTTGGGCATGCGCAGAAAGCAAAATTTCAGGCAGTTTTGAGGTGAATGGGTTAATTTGTCCTACTAGATCCAAGGCTGTACTCTAAGGAGGCTCAGAGTTCTCTGTGAAATTCAGGGTGCCCAGCATATATCATTATGATTTTTATGCAAAAGTAACATCTTTTAGAGCTGTCCAGGAGCAAAGGTTAGGTGTCAGAGGCCACCTGGTGCTGTTAGAGCACAGTCTTGGGTCCCCTTGAATGTTAAATCAAAGTCCAAATAACATCACTTTTAAATTTATATACTTGAATAATGATGGTAAGTAACTGGGGCTACAATGAGGGACAAAAGTGTTGAGACACTTCTATAAAATGGCCCCTTTTTGAACAGTGGACATACCTATCCCCTCCCCTGGTGTACCCCCACCCCCTCTTGCCAAAACTAATTTTGTATTTTAGACCTCAGGTCTTTCTTTTCCTACATTAAACAACATTGATTCGGGGGTGGGGGGGATTTATGGCGAATAAACAGAATGAAATAATGAATGAATGAAATTGTTGATAAAAGGACCCAACTACTTTTGTTCCTGATTGCAGCCCTTAGAACTACCTTCTTCAGTTCTTTTCGAATGCAAATAAATTATGTTGTACAGCCTTTATTGGAGACGTTTACATTCTAAGATGAGAACGACTACGAGTACGAGATTTTCTCAATAGTAAGTGGTGCTCGCTTGTGAGGCAGCGTCATTTTGGCAGGAAAATATGGTAGCCATTGTCATTCTACTATGAGTTTTAGCGAGAGTGTCATACTGGCGGGAACAAGTTATCAAATGCAAGAAGTCTTAGCATTTTGCAATCTGAAGAGGGCTCAACCTCCTTCAATAACGATAACAGTGCTAACTTTTCTGGTGAAAAAAAGTACAGTGAAGAATTCTGGGGTGTCTATTTTTTGACAATATGTAAAAAAACTTTAAATCAAATCTCGTACTCGTAGTTATTCTCGTCCTCGAATCTAAAGGTCAGAGTCAGGGAAATGCAACTGCATTAACTGTGTCTTTACCTGCGACAATCTCCTCTTCATTTAGAATAGAGTAACGTTAATTTTTAGCTTATAGTGCCCTGAGAAAGTTGTTGCGACTACTAGCATTAGTTGGACCGTTGTGCCAAAGAAATGTATACACAATGTAATTTAATTTATTTTTAATGTAATTTAACAGGGAAGAGCCACCCCGTGGATCTGTTAAAAGGACTTTGCAATAGAGGTTCATTACATGTAAGTCAAAGTTCCACTGAAATATGACATGACGTACTCTACTGTTAAAATATAAACACCTGTCGAGCAGCAGTTTTGGTGATGATACCGGTATAATTATACACTTTATAGAGGAGCAATGACAATAATTTAAAATACATACATAAGCCCACTCATGTAGGAAAGGAAGATAAACTTTGCCGTTTGTGTCCACATGATGTGACGGTTTGATAGCCATGCTGCTGGTGGGTTTAACAAACACCAAAGGAGGAACATATGGATGATTCTCCTGTAGCCATACACACACTGGAATGTTGTATGTTACACCTGTTATTCAGGAAAAACAAAAAATCCAGTACTTATTAACATACTGATTTTCTTACACCTGTAGCTTCCATATATTGGCAAAGCAGAGAAAGTATTTGCATAGCCCTGTAACCAAAGATTGTTGTTTACAGGATTGACCTTTGAAAACAACCACTAGCAGCATAAGAGATAATGTTTACAGATATGTACATGACTCAAACCATCAATAAAACAATTTTTGAAAGCCAAAAAAGTACAATCCTGATACTCTATTATTTACTTTATTGTCCTCATGCAAAAATGGCCATGGTACATGTGTAAATGTCAATTCTATGTGACATGTATTAGGCCCGTCCTGGAATACGCAAGTCCTGTATTCCATCGTTCTCTACCAAACTACATCAGTGAAGATTTGGAATGGATCCAAAGAAGGGCTTTCAGAATCATCTATCCTGACCTGTCATATAGTGTAGCACTAGAAACAGTTGGCCTACCGAATCTTCATGAGAGGAGAGAAAAGATTTCAATCGATCTGTTTGATGAGATCGTCTCTAACCCCACCCACAGTCTCCATAGCCTCCTCCCCCAAAGGAAGAGTGGTAAATATGCACTGAGACGCAAAAGTGATTTCACTCTCCCCCTATGTAAAACCGAGCGTTTGAAGAAAAGTTTGATTTTTAGCCATGTCGATCTCTAAGATGTAGATAATTTTCTTATTTTCTCTTTGTTATCATCAGTATTTGTAAATATCCCGTAATTCACCCTATGGCTGCAATGGTGTTTATAATAAAGTATCTATCTATCTATCTATCCTAAATAATGTCCTTTTCATTGAGGACTAGCTGTTAGTATTGAAAAAAAGAAATCTTAGGATTTCCTTTGCGCTGTTTCCTACTGATTGCAGTTTAGCAACTATAATACCCTTGAGATTATCATCTGTGCCATGTACATGTATGAAAAAACCCATTTATGAGAAATAAGTAACACACAGTAGGTACCAAAAATGAAGAAATGATTGTCGCAGTGAACACAATTTATGCAATTGCGTAAAGAAGCCCCCAAAAAATTCAGGACTTCAACGGGGTTTGAACCCGTGACCTCGCGATCACCAGTGCGATGCTCTACCAACTGAGCTATGAAGCCACTGATGTTGGGAGCAGAGTAAGTACCTGTGCATTCAAATAGGATTATTATTCAAAGCAGAACAGTCCTCTTACGTACCACATCAAAAAAGAGTACACATTTGGTATTTATCAATTTAAGTTTTAATTTGGACTTTTGTGTTATAGGGAAGTAGAAATAACTGTTGATCACTGGTGTTCAGTTGTTAGAAGGATAATTAGCAAATATCCATCTTAGATTACATAGCCATCTGCCTGTATGCTCAGTTTACAGTAAACTTATATGTATGATTGGGCTAGCCAGGTCTTGCTTAACTCCACCCAAGTCCTGTACTATGTACACACTCACAGAAATAATTACAGTGTATTGCCCTGGTCCCAGTTGAGTATTAGGGAAACTAACAATGTTATCCACAAGAATAATTAGGGCTGGGAAACACAGAAAATTTTGAATCAAACTACATGTGGGTTGAACGCTGGTTTGATAGTGGGCTTTACCTACAAAACATCCACTAAAATCAGGCTTTGGATCCTGGCAAGTCTGGAATTACGCAAAAAGAACCAATCTGTTAAAAGTTACATACCTCTGATCACTACAGGAAGTGTTCCATCCAAAGCCAGGAATTCAGTCTCTCTGCCATCATTATGAACTGCAAACAAAATCATTACAATACAACATTATTTCTTTATAGCGGTAACACTGATCCCATATAGTTCCTATATTAATTAGGGAGTCAACAGATGACATGTACTCATTGTAGAGAGCTTTGATGTCTTAAAGAGTATACACAATGGAAAGATGCAAATGATGGAGCAAATAATTTTCTCTGTCGTGTGTGCTTGAGCAATTATAATATTTCATGGGTGTGAAATTTCAGCATTATTGCAAGAAGTTTATGATGTTAAAGGTCATAGTTTTGAACACATTTATTTTTTACATCACGTCTATGATTTATGAAAGTGTATACAATGGAAAAAGTTGGGTCAATTTGCTGCATGTAAATAATTTATAAAGATCAACGTCGGATTGACTATGTCGCTAACAGGTATGATTAATGTTCTAACAGGTTAAGATCAGATGCTAACAAATTGACTAACGCCTATGACAGATACAACCAGCAATCTAACAGATACAGATGAAGTGCTAACAGATTGTCAAACGCCTCTCATGGTTTTCATTGATTTGGCTAATGGACGACTAACAGATAGCTAACAGTCTAGACGATTAAACAGAATACCGCTCAGGGTATGTTTTCCCAAAGAAGGTCATATGTGGTTGTATGTCCCAGTTAAATGCCTTTAATGATAGCACAAAAAAGCTGGCATGTACCACAAAAATTGCATAATGTAACTGGAATATTTTCTATAACATAGAGGGGAAAGAGATTACTTACTGAATTTTTGCAGATCAGGTGTTAGGTTGTTGTATTGATGCAGTGCTCTTGCACAATCTTGGTGACACAACTCTGAATTCTTATACTGACAAAAATAAAACAATTAAATGTAAACAAAATTAAAAGATAGAAAGTGTAAGGTTATTTCTAATTTTTTAATCACCAATGAATCACGCCAGTGCTGAAGGCATGGGCCACAAGAGAGGTTTGGGTTGTTCTTCCCAGAAAATTTTGAAAATATCTCAGTGCTCTGAAAGGTCATTTCTAGGATCCTGAGAGGATAATTTCTGACTAAAATGTTTGTTGAATTGATTCTCATAATTGATAATAATTAATATAGGAATGGCTAGCAATGGCTAAACGTCTCTACTACAAAAAAAAGTTAGATGAATATAAATCAAATGCAAAATCAACTTAGAAATTACTTAACGATCTTATTAACAAGAAGAAAATTAAGTGTAAGTTACCTTCCATCTTCAAATCTAATGAAGAAGAAATATTTAATCCTACTCATATAGCAAACCGTTTTTGCGAGTATTTTACGAATATTGGACCTAACTTAGCTAAATCAATTCCGGCGTCTGACAAATCTCATCGTTCTTTTCTGAATGGAGGCTTTATTAATTCATTTTTTCTTCAATCGGCATCAGAACAAGTAGCCACTGAGATTTGTAGCAGCTTTCGATCCGGTACTGCACCAGGATAGGATAGTATTTTAACTTAATCTGCGCACCATTGACGTATATAATTAACTTGTCTCTTAATTCTGGAGTTGTACCCCAAGAAATGAAAATTGCACGAGTTATTCCATTGTTTAAATCTGGTGATAAATCTTTGTTCACAAATTACAGACCCATATCAGTGTTACCAGTTTTCTCTAAATTCCTAGAGAGAATCGTCTATAATCGCCTCATTAATTCTTTAAATAAATATGATATTCTTTCCCGGAATCAGTATGGATTCAGAAAAATTATTCTACTGCACATGCTTTAATCCAATTGTATGAGAAGATCTCAAATGCACTTGATAATAAAAGGGTAACTTTAGGCCTATTCATTGACCTATCTAAGGCCTTTGATACAGTAAATCATGAAATTTTGCTCGACAAATTAGAACATTATGGAGTACGTGATATTGCTTTACAATGATTTAAAAGTTATCTTTCTTGTCGAAAACAATTTGTGCAATATAATGGTTACAACTCTTCATCATTAGATATCATTTGCGGAGTCCCTCAGGGATCTATCTTAGGTCCCCCATTATTCTTAGCATATATAAATGATCTATGTACTGTGTCAAAGGTCTTAGGGCTGATACTATTTGCTGATGACACTAATATCTTCTATTCGCATACTGATGCTTCCTATCTTATGGAAGTTGTAAATTTAGAATTGAACAAGATGTCTAAAGTCGTTTCCGTGGGATGCGTTGGTCTATGGAAGCATAATGGCGTTCTATCTAGGTTAATGGAACAAAACAAAACAAAATATCCTCTTGCTTTATCCAGGGTCGAACCCAGGGTTACAAAGTTCGATAAAGTTCCAATGTTTTAATCCAAGATGAAAGTTTAATATTCCAAGATGCTCTTGATACGGTTAAAAATTAATTGCAATGTGTTTCCAAGGCCTCAAAGTTAACATAGTTCCGATGATTATCCCTGATTCCAAGGTATAATAAGTTTACTCATATCCTGATCCCTGTCCCATCCAGAAGTCCAATCCATGCCGAAAGCGAGTCATCGATCGACGAGGACAATATTTTCACGATTTCAACGCTAATCGTCAAGGGTGTGAGTTGAAATTTACGCGATTTAACCTCCCATCGTCAAGGTGTTTTAGATAAGAAAAGAAAAAAACTGAACTCTAGCTGTGCTCGGCAAAAACTGGCAAACTCCGACTAGAAAAATCTATCGGAAATCACGGCCCGCAACCAGACGCTACTAAAACCTTATGAAAAAGCTAGACCTAAATAAAAAAGAATCATGAAGGAAAGAAATAATTTGGCTTAGGTCGCCTTTCGTGACTTGCTAGTATCCCGAAGGATTTCGCTGGTTAACAAGCCATCCTAAACCACGCGTGAGAAAACTCAAGCGCGACAAATTTGGCAAGAAACGTTCTGATTTCAATGTTCTTCAGAGGAAGCAAATCAATTAAAAATCGATACAGATTTTGTACAATCTGATTGGTCAGCTTGGAAGAAGAGATAATTGATAAAGATTTTATGCAATCCTATTGGCTGGCTTTGCAATTTTGGGTACAACCGAACCAGATTTTTACCGTGGGAGTGCCACAGGCATCCCACGGAAAAAGATAATGTGTTGGTTTTATACAAATAAGCTATCTATTAATGTTAAGAAATCTAATTTTATCATATTCAGACCGAGACAAAACAGGCAAACACTTGATCTAGCTTTTAATATTAGTAATTATCCGATTGATCGTGTTAAGGAAGCTACTTTTCTTGGTGTAATTTTGGATGAACATTTAACATGGAAATCACATATACATAATGTTGCTCGGAAAGTGTCTAAAGCCATAGGTATAATTTATAAATCAAGTTTTTGCCTTAATAATTCCTCCTTACGGATGCTTTATTTTAGCCTTATCTACCCATACTTATTCTACTGCGTGAGCATCTGGGCATCGACCTACCCATCAAACCTCAGAAGATTAATCACACTTCAAAAACGTAAGAAGGTTGAGGAGTGCTTTCGATGCTCACACTGACCCCTTATTTAAAAACTTAAAAATTCTGAATCTTGAGAGTATCTACAAACTTCAAATAGGAAAATTTATGTATCAATACAGATCTGGCTTACTTCCTTATAGCTTCAATAACATGTTTTTGGTGACACGCCAGGTGCATTCTTATGGCACTAGACGTTTGGAGCCTTTTTATTTACCACAATGCAGGACTAATATAAGAAAGTTCTCCATCAGTTTCCAAGGTCCTAAATTTTTTAACTCTCTTAGTTCTGAAATTCGAAATGCAACAAGTAACGCTTCCTTTTGCCGTAAGCTGAAAGCATTCCTCTTATCATAAATAGTAATTCATACATATATATATATATATATATATATATATATATATTTTCTTTTCTTTTTTTTTTTTTACCTTTGCTCTTTTATTTTCATTTTTTTTTTCTTTTTGTCATTCTGCTTTTTTTAGCTTAGAACTATGATTAGTACGACTATCTAATATATTTATTTTAAGATTTACTGTAGCTCTGCCATTGATTTTCCCATGTGTAATTATGATAATATTTTGTTCTTAAATTATCTAACTGAGGGAGCCCACTCCTTATAAGCCCGGTGGCTTCTCTTGGGCTTCCTTGCCATGAGAATTTAAATAATTAGATTTTATTTGATTTGTACAATTTATGGCAAACAAAGCAATAAAGCAATAAAGATGGCAGACACAGCTTTGAACAATCACTTTGATCGTCACTTGCTTGCTTTGCGTACAAGTACTAGATTTTATTATTATATTTGGTGCGGTTTTTAAAGTTTTTTGGATATCTATCTCAGTTAGGTATACTCCTTTACAAGAAGGTGTTCTTGTATAGGAATCATAAGAAGTCATTTGAAAATATCAGAACTGATCTGATGTCAACATATTAAATTGGGACTTTACCTATTCCAAGCGCATAATGGTCGGGATTTTCAACCAAAAAAGAGAGAATCGGTATCCCGACGCGACTGGAATGGTTCTACAGTTTGAATTCAATTATTTAACGAAAAATTTGGAAACAATATTAGGCCATTTCTATTCATTTTGTATATCAAACATGTATAAGCTTATTTTGATCAACAGTTGGTGCATATTTATGGAGAAAGGAGGAAAAGATTGTATAAATTCTTTATGTTCGCCTAGTGTAAGTATAAGTGCTTCCTCAATGAACTTTGCAGAAGGAGTAACTAAAAATCCAGTTCGTACAATTCCGCGTACAAAAGTAAATTGATTGTCATTGCCAGTCTGTCTGCAAACGAGCATTTATACACGTCCAGAGATGTACTAACCTTTGAAAGTTTGTTCCTTAACAGAGCATCCAATGCCATTTCAAAACAACAAGCAGGAAGATATTAAAATTAACCTAAGAAGATGTGTATATTCCGAAACATTTTTACATCACTAACTTTCTTCTGCAAGGTTTTCCTTCTGCAACATTCCTGTCGTTGCTTTATGTATGTATCATCGAAAAAATCGAATAACTTCTTCATTACTGCCCAGTCCTCCCTCCTCTATGACATACCAAACTATTTTTAGAACAGCTATTGTCTGTCACAACCTACGAAATTACCTTGAAATAGCTACGCGAACAAATCTTGAAACTAAGGGAGACGTCAGTTACAAAGAAAAAAAATAAAAAATACAAGAAGACCAAATTGTTGGTTTTCACATGACGTCACAAAAATTCAAACTACAAAATTTTTAATATCGATCATGCTGAGATTTTACTTTCATGATGTATTATTAGAGCAGCTGAAGACTAATTTTCATACAAAGAGTTCTTGGTGTTGTGATAGAGCATGCTTGAATTTTTAAGCTTTTGCGTGACGTGGCATTTACATGACGGCCGAGAAAGCTTTCATGTGGGTAAAAAAGTGACGTATTTCGGGGAATTTTTCTATCTATCATTAGAAAAAGTATTACTTTGATGTTTATGAGTTCCTCGAGGGATAAATTCACGCTTTTGTACCAAAACTCGGTAACAGATGTTTTTGTTGCGTCCGCCATTTTGGTGCCCACCCAGGTGGGCACCATCATGGCGTCTCCATACAAATCTCTATAAATTTGGGAAAAACATTTGTTCGCGTATCTCGTATACGGAATATTCTTCTGACCTGAATCTTAGCGATGGTCTTTGTATGTTTACCTCCTTTCATTTCCCAGATTCCGGATTTTATCTATTGAACAGTTTTGATTTTTATTTTGATATATTTTGAATGGCGTGACACTGAAAACCAGCAATAGACGTCATAGTAAACGCAGCTAAAAAAAAGACAGCTTTGTATGCCGATCAAAGGAAAGAGAGCCTGATATAAAGCACAAATATCGGGGGATAATCGACCAATATTTGGATAGAGGTGAACCGCTGAGCATTTGGGACCCTGACCCTTTTTACGACAAAAAAATTCCTAAAACACATACTCTGTTTATAACAACACCCTCAATTTTAGTACCCTGTTTAGGACAAAGGACAAAATGCACGCCTCTTTGTTTTAAAGCCATTTTGACTGGCATTACGCCACTTGAACATAGTAATGCACATTATTTGCCTTCCCGCCCCCCCCTCCCCCCTGCCCCCCAAAAAAAAAAATTGCATATTTTTTGTTTTTCATTTCTCTTGGGTATTACAGCCGTCCCAAGAGAAATTGAAAACAATGTTTATGCAAAATTTTGGGGGGCAAGTGGCGTATTGCAAGAGCAAATTCACGTTATAATCGTTGCTTACATACTTGGAGTACAAAAAAAATTCATCTAGGATATCAAATCAATCGTGCAGGCAATACCCTGTTGACAGACTCCCACAATGTTATATACCCTGATCGGCTCATGACCCTGTTTAAGACAGAGAGGACTGAAAACCATGGCCCAGCGGCACATCCCCGTATAAGCCATATAAGGGAGTACCCCCCGGAGCACAAATACCCCACCACTTCTCTGTTTCACTTCCGTCAGGAGCCCATCGAGGGTAACCCCCGGGGGTAACTTCACCAAATTCAGGTGTTGAAACGGCTTTACAGTAAGGCTGAGTATACAGTTACGGATGGTGGGTAATCTCGGTAATGGCCCAATAATGCTTAATGTTCTCCCATTAACTTCACTACAAGCTAAAAAATTCTATATGCGTTGTTCTGCTTCTTTTGCACTGCGCATCACCTACCGCGCAGAAGATTGCGACATCAAAGGTTACGGTGATTTTGACCCGTTCGCAAAGGTCGCTCTTGTAGTCCAAAAGCCTTAATTACGCTCTTTTGATCATATTTGCATGGAAAAGGCGCGTTGTAAGTTGTTAATTATTATTATTAATTATTAACTCTTCACAACTACTTGAAAAGGTGTTGATATTGAAACCCGTCCTCGTCGCTTCGCGTAAAATGATCATTTAAGCCGAAATCGACCTATCAATGTTATTTGCAATGAACCGAGGACGGTGAGCCTCTTTGTTATTGTTTTTTTAGCCTGGGACCAGGCTCCGCATTGAGGGGAAAAGGAGGACAAAAATCGGCGTGGGCGAAAAATAAATCGGCGAGCGAAGCGGGCCGAGAGAGGCCACTGCTCTGGGAACGAGGTTGGTATTTAATTAGAAATTAATAAAACCGTTATTGCACGAGGACCCTGGACAAAAAGCAGCGACGAGAAGCTGGATCTGGTGTAGATCAGGATCAGCAATAATAAAATTAAAAATTGAAGGCAAGGCTGATGGGACAGCTATGACTAGGTCAGCCCGTGAATGCCTTCAATTGTTAGTTTTATTAAGAAAAGAACGACTTGAAAACTCATTTGAAGCCACACTGGAGAATGAGATAATTTTATAGTGGTCCAATCAGTTTTTATCTTTATTTGCAAGATCAGGTATTTGAATTCACGTGACTGAAAATTTATAGCCCCCCTCCCGCCCCGCCCCCCAAAAGAGGGGCTTCTTTAGGTTTTAGAAATTTACATAGTTTTTGCTTTGTACCAAGAATTATTGACGGTTGTTTAATTTTCGAACATTTCGCGCGCAACTTGGGAAACATGACTGGTATGAGAATAAAGGACATACAGGCGCGGGCAACAACAAGGACTTTGAAATCATCTTTTGGTTGCAGTTTTCCAAAGTCCGTTACATTGCTGTCAATTGTGCCAAATTTTTAAAAAATCAGGATAGTACACCCTTTTTAAGGGAATTACCTTAAAGAATAGGAAAGATACCCCTTTCACACAGAAACATCTGTGAAATTTCGCGCGACTTTGCGTAGTAATACCTTTACTCAGTCTTAGGACTTTTCACCCTGAAGCTTGGGGACCTTTAGGAAGTTACTTTATTTCAAGGCGCTCTTTCCAGCTGTGTCAATGGATATTAGTTTACTGTTCTTTATCAAAAGTTGAAAGAACCAAGGAAAAGTCTATAACATGACAACCAACTGTAGTCTGGGCAGACGATCGTTGAAGTGTTACTTCAAAACCGTAAAATCGCTGAACTTTCTGTTTCAGAGTAAACTGTCTTAATAATCAGGAGCACCCAACGGGAAATTTTGAGAAAAAGACATAAAAACAACAACAATGCATGAATAAAACTTTCTCAAGCCATTTTGAGCATTTTGGGAGATTGCTGGGAAAAGCTTATCTGTTACCTTATCCCCAGCAAGACTGACTGATTTGAGTTTCCAGCCAGCTAGGTGCCCCTTCACTGCCTACAACTTGCAATCTGACTAAGTGGGAAGTTTCCCAAGAGACGTATGTACAGAAATTACTGGCCAGTTTGGGTGTGGTCCTGGGGCACCCCGCCGTTGGAGTTCAGCTTTGCAGCCTTGGAGTAAACAGGTGGATGTTCAGCAAACACACAGCAGAGGATCTGAAGCAGTAATGCAAGATCAGATTTTGGCTGAAATATAAAAACATTAAAAAAATGTTGTAGGATATAATTTTGTATAAATAGTATTAAAAAAAATACGAAAAGACTTTTTCTTGTTTTGTCGTCAACTTACGGTTGATTTGTTTAAAGCATAGAATGTACACCTCTCAAAAGTTGGCATAGACTAAAACATCAGCATTATTCAGACGCCCGAGAGTAAGTGTAGGGAATCAGATGAGATTTTATGATCGATCATCAAAAAATAGTCGGTGTATTGAGTTATTCATTTAATAACAGGAGACTTATTTTTTAAGGAATCTTCAATTCTGTTTTAAGTGTACCAGTAAGATTATCAGTATTTAGTATTCTACTGATATTGTAATGTAGAACTTGATTTAAGTTTAAAGTTTTACAGTTTATAAGAATTACCCAACCCATCGATCATTATCGTCCGAGCAGTGGTTTCTCCTGTCCGGCCTGGGGAAACTACTCCTCACAGGGTAAACGATCATCGATTATCTTGGTAAATTCTCCATAAGAATCCCATTTATTTTGTTTTTTTGAAACACTAGGCGATTAGCTTATAAGTCAGGGCCTGAGCATATGTTTACTTTGTACCTTTGCGTGTGTGTGTGTGGATGTATTCAGTTATATGTGTGAGTTGCAATGTGATTGACACGGAATTTATCAGGGATAAATGAGGGTAACTTCGGGTGGGTGTGGGCGGACTGGGGGGGCATGCTTCTTGAAAAGTATTCTTAGTCAGATTTTCCTTTTCCTTTTCCTTTCCTTGGTGGGAACAAGTTATCATAATTATGTTAGAAGTTTTAGCATTTTGCAATCTGGAGAGGGCTCAACCTCCTTCAATAACGATAACAGTGCTAACTTTTCTGGTGAAAAAAAGTACAGTGAAGAATTCTGGGGTGTCTACTTTTTGACACTACGTGAAAAAACTTTAAATCAAATCTCGCACTCGTAGTCGTACTCGTCCTCGAATCTAAAGGTCTCTACGGGTACAAGACTTGAGTGAATAATGCCCAGGCTCTCATTTAAAATTTAGGATGATACATGGGTTATTAAGGCTTTAAGTTCAAAGAATAACCAAAATCAGTTTCCCCCCAACAATATCAATACATCATCAAGAGAAAAATATTTGAGAATCAGAAAAATGATCACCCAAGAAAATTAAAGGCTGTGATCTTTTATCAAATTCTCTCAACCAATTTGGAGATCCAGGGATGTAGCTAAGGAAAAGCTAAGCAGGCTTTTTAATTAGTCAAGCTGGCTTTTTTACTCAAATGCAACTTCAAAATTGCCCCAAGTTTTTGTTTTCCAGTGTAATTTAAGCCTGTGTTACGGTCTTTTTGGGCCAGTAATATTAGCTGTTAGTTGGCTCTTAGGGACATCCCTAGAGATCAGTCTGGTTCAGGGGGTGGGGTTGTTAACATTGGTGCTTTAAGATGCCTTTGGGGTAACTTTTCTGGACACAATTTGGCGGGAAAACAATAAAGTTATTAATAGTTGAAGGTATCAAGCAATGCAGAGGAAGGGGAAGTTTTTGCCAGTTGTAGCCTTTGTTCTTTCCGCCTTGTCCTTCATTTCTTCATTCACTGATTCGAATACACAGTATATGAAACTCATATTATATTTGTCATTTCATCTTTATTTTTCCAGGGTATATTACAAACCAATTTCATAACCTGCAGCTCCTACTTGGCTTGCATGCTAGCTAAACTGGTTAGAGTGCTGCACAGGTATTGCAGAGGTCAGGGAATTGCAACTGCATAAACTGCGCCTTAACCTGCGATAATCTCCTCTTCATTTTTGAGTAAAGTAATGTTAATTTTTAGCTTATAGTGCCCTGAGGAAGTTGTCGCAACTACTAGCATTAGTTGGACTGTTGTGCCAAAGAAATGCATACACAATGTAAGTTAATTTATTTTTAATGTAATTTAACGGGGAAGAGCCACCCCATGGATCTGTTAAATAAACCATTATTATTATTATTATTATTATCATTATTATTACAACGTACACAAGGCCAATTTTTTTGTACAGAGGAACCTCAATAATTATAATGAAGGGACAAGGGACTGAGAAAATATGTTTGCTATAGGGAGGTCTCGTTATATCAGTGTTCTTTTCCATATGTTTTACAATTTATTGCTGGGGCTACGATTATTGCTCATCTTACAAAGGACTTTGTTATAGAGGTTCATTACATGCAAATCAAAGTTTCACTGAAATATGACATGACGTACTCCACTGTTAAAATATAAACACCTGTCGAGCAGCAGTTTTGGTGATGGTATAATACACTTTATAGAGGAGCAATAATAATAATATTATTTAAAATACATACATAAGACCACTCATGTAGGAAAGGATGATAAACTTTGCCGTTTGTGTCCACATGATGTGATGGTTTGATAGCCATGCTGCTGGTGGGTTTAACAAACACCAAGGGAGGAACATATGGATGATTCTCCTGTAGCCATACACACACTGGAATGTTGTATGTTACACCTGTTCATCAGGAAAAAATAAAAATCCAGCACTTATTAACATACTGATTTTCTTACGGTTGTAGCTTCGGTATATTAGCAAAGCAGAAATAGTATTTGCATAGTCCTACCTGTAACTTAAGATTGTTGTTTACAGGATTGACCCTTGAAAACAACCACTAGCAGCATAAGAGATAATGTTTACAGATATGTACCTGACTCATTCCATCAATAAATTAAAACAATTTTTGAAAGCCAAAAAAGTACAATCTTAATACTCTATTATTTTACTTTAATGTCCTCATGCAAAAATGGCCATCCTATATGTGTGAATAATGTCCTTTACATTGAGAACCAGCTATTAGTTATGAAAAAAAGAAATCTTAGGATTTCCTTTGCGCTGATTCCTGCTGATAGCAGTTTAGCAACTATAATACCACTTAAGATACCATCTGTGCCATGTACATGTATGAAAAAAACCCATTTATCAGATATAAGTAACGCAGAGTAAGTACCTGTGAGTTCAAATAGGATTATTATTGGAAGCAGAACAGTCCTCTTACCACATCAATAAAATGTACACATTTGGTATTATCTATTTAGGGTTTAATTTGGACTGTTGTGTTATAGGAAACTAGTAATAACTGTTGATCACTGGTGTTCAGTTGTTAGTAGCAAATATCCATGTTAGATTACATAGCCATCTGCCTGTATGCTCAGTCTACAGTAAACTTATATGTATGATTGGGCTAGCCAGGTCTCGCTTAACTCCACCAAGTCCAGTCCTAAATAAACACTTGTTACAGAAATAATTACAGTGTATTGCCCTAGGTCCCAGTTAAGTATTAGGGAAACTGACTGTGTTATCAACAGGAATAATTAGGGCTGGGAAACATAGAAAATTTTGAATCAAACTACATTTGGGTTGAATGCTGATTTGATAGTGGGCTTTACCTACAAAACATCCACTAAAATCAGGCTTTGGATCGTGGCAAGTCTGGAATTACGCAAAAAGAACCAACCTGTTAACAGTTACATACCTCTAATCACTACAGGAAGTGTTCCATCCAAAGCCAGTAATTCAGTCTCTCTGCCATCATTATGAACTGCAAACCAATCCATTACAATACAACCTTACTTCTTTAAAGCAGTAACACTGATCCCATATAGTTACTATATTAATTACTAGGGAGTCAACAGATAACATGTACTGATTGTAGAGAGCTTTGCTGTCTTTAAGACTATACGCATCAGAAAGATGCAAATGATGGAGCAAATTATTTTCTCTGTCATGTGCGCTTGAGCAATAACATTTCATGAGTGTGAAATTTCAGCATTATTGCAAAAAGTTTATGCTGTTAAAGATCATAGTTTTGAACATATTTTATTTGTTACATCACGTCTATGATTTATGAAAGTTTATTATATGGACACGAGTGTTTTACTGGAAAATATACCACTCGTAAAATTCATAAAAACTACATCCGGGACCCGAGTGGTTTATTTTCCATAATCTCACACGTGAGTTTATCAATGACGTAATTTCGGTCATTTCCCTCTATTATTTTATCGATGTCTTTGTCTATATAATAAAAAAGAACATTACGGCGGTTTGAAGATATGAATTTTATTTTCTCATGGCAAAAACAATATTTTACTCACTCGCTGCCCTCGTTAAGTAAAATATTGTTTTGCCACCCAAAAAAAATTCATATCTTCGCGCCACTGTGTAATATCCTCTATGTATACAATGGAAAACGTTGGATCAATTTGTTGCATGTTAATAATTTATAAAGATCAAAGGATTGACTATGTCGCTAACAGATATGACTAATCAGGGTTGTCACTAAGATTTCAAGTTGCCGGGTATTTGTCGTTTGTAGCCGGGGAAGTCGCAAGCAGTCATGGAGCCACCCCCCCCCCTAGAAGTGCAACTTCTACGGTTTTCCAAAAGGCATTACCGCCCCAAAAAAGCAATCTTCATCAAGAGTACAGCTATCATTAGCGGTTTTATGATGATCACGTCTTTATTAAAGAAAAGTACATCATTCTGCGACACCAAAATAATAAGGTTTTACTTTGCGTAAAGGCTCGTTGGAGGGTTTTTTTAGTGGCCGCCAAATGGGAATATACATGTAAGCACCGTGTCTGAAAAAATTGACAGGTATGGCGCAGTCTTATCTTCATGCAGACAAGGCGCATGCTGGCCAGTGAAGAGTTAAATCACAACGATAATTTACAAATGTTAAAAATGTGGAAAGGACAATCGATTCTTACATGGTGCAAATGAATTAACATGCGCTGTAAAATCAATTGTAAATCCTCATTTAGTTATACGTAAGAACGAAACAACTTACAGAAAACAAAAGTAAAAGTAATATTACAAATGAATTAACAAACGGAGAAGCGGAAAGAAGACAAGCGGACAATAAATGTACGAAAAAGCATCATAAACATAAGGTTACTATGGTTTGTTGAAAAATAAAAGTATGATAAGGCTAAAACAAGCGTAACGTACGAAAACTCGCGGGATAAAATATGACAAAACTAAACTGCACAACTGGTAACATTAGTGGTCTCGAATTTATGAACGAAACATCACTTAACATACGAACAAACTGACTAAGGAAAAGCGTTTAAAAGACAGGGCTAATACTTTATAAACGACGCTGAGATGTCAAAACGAGACTCAAGGAGAAGAATGCAAAAGTAATACTAATGCTTAACTTCCCTTTTATATATAACTTCTTGGAAGTAGAACTGAGAGGATGTAATCATGACCTACGGACAATGATCGAACATTTCCCGTTGACCGTGCGTTATTTTATATATTCGAAACCTAAAGCTAAATTTAGACCTGGTCACTTAAATGTCAATTTAGTAAACATAGCAATCACTCATAGTCTTCATCTTCAAAGCCTTCATCATGATCCTCATTATCATCAACATCAGCATCAGGGAGATTTCACGCTCGGATGAAGCCTCAACTTCTTCTGTGATGTCAACAGAGATCTGCTCAGGTCTTTCATCGTGAACAAAGATTGCAGATTCCTTTGCCACTTCTTCGACATGTTCAACACAAAGCCGACACAACGGTTGAAACTGGGGACTTTTAGCATCGACAAAGGTGACGGCAGCGAAAACGTCACTTTTAAAAATGAATTGGCGTTTTTTCCAACTTTGTCGCGTTTATTTCAATTCGCTGAAAAAATATGTAGGCCAATTTCCCTGGAGTTGATTTCTTTGGGACCGCACTCAAGTTTAGAAAGAGAAAAAAAAGTTTGACGTCGCTTGTTTACGTCCTCCATAAAACGTGAAACTAGGCATTTTCACGTCGTAGTCGCGCAGTAACAGCAAAGAAATGTACAAAAAAGGTGTGATCCACGTGCAAACTAGTTGTTTTGCTCAATAAACCTATTGCTTTTTTGACGTTCTCGTTGCCGTCGCCGTCATCGTTGCTAAATCTCCCTACTGACATTTCGCGAACGGAGAGTTTTCGCGCGTGTTTACTAGTACCAAATCTAAGTCAGATGTCTTTTCCCGACATTTCTTAGTTTTTGCACGCGAGTATTTCAAAATTACTTAAACCTGCTGCAGATGAAACTTTCATTTAGTTAAATGGATAGTCTGTGTGTGTTTGAAAGGTGTGCTCTTTTGGTTTAATTTAACGACGAAAGTAGCCGGGGGTCATGCTCTGAGTAGCCGGGGGAAATCCCCGGCCCCCGGCTCTTAGTGACAACCCTGACTAATGTTCTAACAGGTTAAAATCAGCTGCTAACAAATGGACTAACGCCTCTGACGGATACAACCAGCGATCTAACAGCGATCCAACAGATAGCACAAAAAAGCTGGCAAGTACCACAAAAATTGTGTAATGTAACTGGAATATCTTCTATAACACAGAGGGGAAAGAGATTACTTACTGAATTTTTGCAGATCAGGTGCTAGGTTGTTGTATCGATGCAGTGCTCTTGCACAATCTTGGCGACACAAGTCTGCATTCTTATACTGACAAAAATAAAAGAATTAAATGTAGACAAAATTAAAAGATAGAAAATGTAAGGTTTTTTAATTTTTTAATCACCAATGAATCACGCCAGTGCTGAAGGCATGAGCCACAAGAGAGGTTTGAGTCATTCTTCCCCAGAAAAGTTTGAAAACATCTCAGTGCTCTGAAAGGTCATTTCTAGTGTCCTAAGAGGATAATTTCTGACTGAAATGTTTGTTGAATTGATTCTCATTATCTTGATAATAATATAGCCGGAATGGCTAGCAAGGACCAAGATGGCAGACACAGCTTTGACCAACCACTTTGATTGTCACTTGCTTGCTTTGAGTACAAGTACTAGATTTTATTATATATTTGGTGCGGTTTTTAAAGTTTTCTGGATATCCATCTCAGTTAGGTATACTCTTTTATAAGAAGGTGTTCTTGTATAGGAATCATAAGAAGTCATTTGAAAATACCAGAACTGATGTCAACATATTAAATTGGGACTTTTCCTATTCCCAGTGCATAATGGTCGGGATTCGGGATTTTCAACCTAAAAAGAGAGAATCGGTATCCGGACGCGATTGGGATGGTCCCACAATCTGAACTCAATTATTTAACGAATAATTTGGAAACAATATTAGGCCATTCTCTATTTTCCAATTGCCCATAATACACTCTGTTTGCCCCCCAAATTCTGCATAAACCATTGTTTTTAAATGCTCCTGGGAGTATTGCATTTTCCCAAGAGCATTTTAAGACAATAAGTTATGCAAAATTTGGGGGGCAAACAGAGTGTATTATGGGCAATTGGAAAATAGTCAATTTCCATTCATTTTGTATATCAAACACGTATAAGCTTACTTTGATCAACAGTTGGTGCATATTTATGAAGAAAGGCGGAAAAGATTGTATAAATTCTTTATGTTCGCCTAGTGTAAGTACAAGTGCTTCCTCAATGAACTTTGCAGAAGGAGTAACTAAAAATCCGGTTCGTACAATTCCGCGTACAAAGGTAAATTGATTGTCACTGCCAGTCTGTCTGTAAACGAGCATTTATACACGTCCAGAGATGTACTAACCTTTGAAAGTTTGTTCCTTAACAGACCATCCAATGCCATTTCAAAACAACAAGCAGGAAGATATTAAAATTAACCTAAGAAGATGTGTATATTCGAAACATTTTTACATCACTAACTTTCTTCTGCAAGGTTCTTCTTCTGCAACATTCCTGTCGTTACTTTATATATGTATCATCGAAAAAATCGAATAACTTCTTCATTATTGCCCAGTCCTCCCTCCTCTATGACACACCAAACTATTTTTAGAACAGCTACTGTCTGACACAACCTACGAAATTATCTTGAAATAGCTACGCGGACAAATCTTGAAACTAAGGGAGACGTGAGTTACAAAGAAAAAATAAGAAAAAATAAAAAAAATAAGAAAAATAAAAAATAGAAGAAGACCAAATTGTTGGTTTTCACTTGACGTCACTAAAATTCAAACTACAAAATTTTTAATATCGATCATGCTGAGATTTTACTTTCATGATGCATTATTCGAGCAGCTGAAGACTAAATTTCATACAAAGAGTTCTTGGTTTTGTGATAGAGAATGCTTGAATTTTTAAGCTTTTGCGTGACGTGGCATTTACATGACGGCCGAGAAAGCTGTCATGTGGGTAAAAAAGTGACGTATTTCGGGGAATTTTTCTATCTATCATTAGAAAAAGTATTACTTTGATGTTTATGAGTTCCTCGAGGGATAAATTCACGCTTTTGTACCAAAACTCGGTAACAGATGTTTTTGTTGCGTCCGCCATTTTGGTGCCCACCCAGGTGGGCACCATCATGGCGTCTCCATACAAATCTCTATAAATTTGGGAAAAACATTTCTTCGCGTATCTCGTATACGGAATATTCTTCTGACCTGAATCTTAGCGATGGCCTTTGTATGTTTACCTCCTTTCATTTCCCAGATTCCGGACTTTATCTATTGAACGGTTTTGATTTTTATTTTGATATATTTTGAATGGCGTGATACTGACAGGGTCGTAACATGGTATATCCGGGACCCACTGATCCCTATTTTCTTGCCGTTATTTTGATCCCTGAGCCCCATTTTCCCA